TAGGGATGACCTTAGAGTATCTAAAGTGCTCCACCTGGGGATGAACAATCACCTGCATACCTACAGGCTTGGCAACAACAACCTGACCAGCACTATGAATGAAAGACACATGGGGGTAATAATAGACCACATCATGAATATGAGCCGGCAATGCGACTGTGTTGCCAGCAGGGCAAATAATATTCTGGCATGCATCAATTGATGCACCTCCAGCAAAACCAAGGAGGTGATTCTTCTGCTCTACTCAGCACTGGTGAGAGTGCAGCTGGAGTATTCTGCCCAGTTCTGCATGCTGCATTTTAACAAGGATGTGGGACAACTTGAGAGAGTCCAAAGAAGGGCCACCCGTATGATTACAGGCTTGCATGGCAAGCCATACGACGAAAGGCTGAGGGACCTGAGACTCTTCAGCCTGAAAAAGAGAAGGCTGAGAGGTGACTTAGTAGTAGTTTACCCTTGGGGAAAACCAGAAGTAATGGCCACAAACTCCTGGAAGACCATTTCAGGCTCAACATTAGGAAAAACTTCTTCATAGTCAGGGTGTCCAGACTGTGGAATAAGCTCCTTCCAGAGGTGGTGCAATTGCCCACCCTAGAAATCTTCAATCTTCAAGAGGAATCTGGACAGTCATACTGCTGGGGCTATATGGTTATAGGTGGCTATATGGTTATCTACATAGACATTCTGCAAGCACTGTAAGACTACCAGATGTTGTGATGCTCTGCATCAGGGGTTCCCAACCACCGGACCGCAGCCCGGTACCGAGTCGTGAAGGGTTGGCTGCCGGGCCATGGTGCTAGCCCCACTCCCATCAACTGCTGCGGTGAGGGAGTGGGACTGCTGAGGTTGGGGCAGGTGCAGTTTGTCTGGGAGGTGCAGGCATCTCCTGCAGCTTTGCACATCCCAGGGGGGCATGGAGGGGGGAGATGTGTGCCCCTGGATCTGTGTGGGGTGGGGCAGGCTGGGGTCAGGGCAGCAGCTGGCTTTTCCCTGGAGCCGCAGCTCATCCGGGAGGCACTGTCAGCTCCTGCCGCTATGTGCACCCCAAGATGACATGGGGGGAACCCACCCCTTGATCTGTGCGGAGCAGGGTGAGTTGGGGCTGGGGCAAACAGCTTGGCAGTGCCACCTCCCTGCTCTGTGCAGGGGCAAAGCAGCAAGTCCCTGTAGGGCTGTGCGAGACAGCCCAAGAGCCTCTTTGCACAGGGGGGACAGTGCCGGGACTGCCTGGGGGAAGGAGCTGCCCCGGCTGGGGTGCAAGCCCAGTGTGCAGCTGCTGAAGGGGATCTAGGACTTTAGGGAGCTGCCCTCCACCCCCGCACAGCTTAGCCCGCTGCCCCTGCCTCAGTACCCCACCCCATCACCAGGGCCTCAATCTACCACCCCACACCCCTTCCCTCACAACAGATTTACCAGGCAGACTCAGCTGCTCCTGCAACCTCCCCCCAATGCAAAAAGTTAAGCATGCAAATTTAATTCTAAGCATGCTAATGTGTTTTAAATATGCAAATTAATGTGTGAATTAGGTTGTTTGTGGCAGAATTCTTTGAGTATTCTTTGAGTGAGTTTGCCAGTCAGCAATATAAAAAGGGTGGGAACCCCTGCTCTGCACTGTTAATGCAAATACTGCTGGCAAGGTCTTATTGAAAGACTGTTGATAAGTTGAATATGATGATTTTTCTTATACAAATGAAAATGCTCACCATTTTGAACATGCTTTAATTGACAGCCATATCTGGGTTTGGGTTTCTCATGAACTTTAAGTGCAGGAAAAATGAATATAATGCTTAAAATTTTTCATCAACACTCAACACTGGTCTCCCGCAACATTATCATTAACAAGCTAAGGAAATACAGGCTAGATGAATGTACTGTAACAAGGATACAAAGCTGATTGGGTCACCATGGTCAACAAGTAGTCATCAATGGCTCAATGTCTGGATGGGACAAGGTATCAAGTCAAGTTCCCCAGTGGTCTGTCCCAGATCTAGTATTCAACATCTTTAGTAATGATTTGAATAACAGGATTGAGTGCAAATTTGGCAAATGTTTGGATGACACTAAGTTGGGTGGAGTTGCAGATACTCTGGGTGTTAAGTCTAGGATCCAGAAAGACCTGGAAAAAAGGTCCAAAAAAACCCCTCAGATGAAATTCAACATGTACAAATGCAAAGTCTTGCTCTTGGGATGGAATACTTGTACACACAAATGCAAACTGGTGTTCTCATCAATTCTTCCTGTAGAATGCAAGGCTCCAGGTATAGACCATCATGTCCTAGAAGTGAATTCATGGGTAAGACGATGGTGTTGATCTGAAGGCTTTGGCTTCTTCGACATGGGTGGATGTTCTTGAGAGTAAGGGTGCACCGATAAAGATTCTTTGGGCCAACACCAATGGCCGATTATTAACGAGCCATACTGGCCAATACCGATCCAATTGCCAATATACATCTTGGCAGCTTGGAGAGCAGCATCCAGCTGGTAATTCTGTGGGGGAAATGGGGCAGGGAAGGAAAGAAGAGTGGGGGGAGTACAGATCAAGGCCCCTGCAGAGGGGAGGAAGTGGGGCTGGGGCAGAAACAGGGACAGATACTGACCAACCACGGTGAGGCGGGAGACAGAGCTGCGAGCAATTCGTTTGGGGGTACAGAAAGGGGGGAGTAGCTGCCACCACTAACACACCCCAGAGGGATACGTGCCCCCTGGATCTGTGCGCAGGGCAAGGGTGGGCTGCTGCTACGAGCTGGGGCTGGGAGCGGTGCTGGGCTCACATACATAACATGGGCTCCCTACATAATTTATTTATGGTCCCCCTTCTAATATTTGCATCCAAACTGAAATTTTCATAATTTGGTAGCAAGTACACTGCATTGAGGTGTAATAAAAAAGAAAAAATATTTCCATAACCAAACATACAATAAAAAGTTAATTCAGACATGCCCAACTTGGAAAATATATCAAAGACTTTACCATAAAATAAAAGCAGATCAACTGGCCAATGTTTTGTCTTTGTTCAGTTTAGAAGAAAAGCTGGAACTTTCTATCTGAAGTGTTATACTTTTCTTTAAAAGAATAACGTTTCACAAATCCAGTGACAGGCATTGGTATCAAAATAACCATTCAGCTTAACATAATAAAGAATAAACCGTATTTTATAATAGTCCTTCACAGATGATTCTTACCTGAATTCCTTCAGATACTCCATCTCCAAATATTTTGTATTTAGTTTTAATGGCCTTTGCCTTTTTTCCTAACCTGCTTCAATAGCCTAATCAGTTTCCTGGAATTCAACCATCTACACTAGCTGTGTCAAACTCACCCTTTACTGCTGCTTCCAGCCTGGGGTAAAGGGGCAGCCATAGAAGCAGTAGGTAGCAGCCCTTGCTCATCCATCTACTGCCAGTGGCCAAGTCCAATAAAACCTATTATTTTGCAACAATTCCCACCCCTGCTGGCCATGCTCCCAAATTTCCTGGCTCCCCAAACACATAAACACCCCGTTTCATATAGTCCAGTTAAATCCAAGGTTCACACAATTCAATTAATTCCATGTATTTAATCATTTTTTCCCCAATAGTTTTATAATTAATGAACCTTGTATTTGAACATACAAAAAAAAGTTTGCAAGTGAATCACCTATTATACTTTGAACTTAAGAGAATATATACCTCTTGCATTAAACACTGTTCCATTTAGTGTCGCACTGATTTAAAAACCAAGTCACGCTCTTGGAATCCAGTCTAATGCCCAACTTATGTCGTACGCAAAGTGCTCTGTGCTACCACTTGCATCTTATATAGAACCACCATGGCACGTTCCCCCTAACCTCACCGCTTTAACTGGTTATTAACGAGCTTTCAATTACATACAAAAATTTGGGAACAGATTAATAACACAGCTAGTATGTGCCGACACGTAAAATAAACCAAATAACTTATTTCAATGCTAACAATTCTTGATTACATATGTACTTTTTTTTTTTAACATATACGCTCTTATGCAAACAAAGTACATTTACCGCCTCAAAAATGATACCAGTGACTTTGGCCATAGACAGGCATTCATTTTTACTGTCTTTGCCATTCTTAGCAAAAGAAAAATAGCCTGGGAGCTGGTCCATATATAAGTTCCAGGCCCCTGGCTAAAGAGCTACACAGAGGTGCTTACCAGCCAGGGGGCCCTAATGAGATGCTCCCTGGACCACCTCCACCGCTTGGGGAGACCATTCATTGACAGCTTGTCAATTGACAGTTGGCAGAAGCTGCCACCAAGTCCAAGGTGGAGTCCAGCCCTGGGAGAATGCCCTGCCCCATCCTGCCAATTAGCTGATTAACAGGAGGGGTGGTCATTCTCCTACATTCTCCTGTTATGGAAACAGTAGCCTATGTTACTGTGCATTGAAGCATCATGTAAAAAAACTGCTATTACGCTAATGTACAGTAAAATACGCTACTGCGCATTAAGCATCACTTAAAAACCATGTACATTTGTTACTGTGCATTAATGCAGCCTAATGTGCATCTCTTCAGTAGCTCACACCGAAGGTACTAAATTTAATGTGTGTTAGAAAAAGCACCTTAATACACGTGTAGACACACGCTTTGAGAACTAAACAAGAGAATAAGTCTCACTTTAATTTTTCATATTATTAGCAAAGAATGCGTGATTAGTAGAGTTGTGACAAATTTGTATGTCACATGAATCTTACATGAATTCTTACACCACATTGACACTTCACATATATCAGCAGCAATGATTTTCAGCACCCCTCTAGAAACAATTTTACAAAGATCTCAGCAACCTAGTTCAAAAAACATTACATGAAAAAGCTCACGATAGACTGAAAAGGAACAACAAATGCCTTAGTCTCCAGTGTTAAAACCTCTTTAAAAAAATTCAGTATTCAAAGAGGAGTTCTCCTTTATCAGTTCAGGTAAATCTTTTTTCCACGTTTCTAAGCTACGTGTAAATTTAGCTGGAGCTTTTACAAACATCCTTACCTGCACCTTTTTCAATGCGACTGGTACCCCATCCAGGAGCCAAGTTGCTCTATAAACTTCACTAAACTGTCCTCGGCCAATCTTCTTTTCTATTCGGTAGTTGGCTAATGTATTGTAGCCCATGTCAGGTCGTAAAGCTTTCTGTAATAAAAAAATGTAAATGTGCTTTGCATCATATAAACTGTATATTTTAAATAGAGTCCACATAGCAACCGTACACCAGCATCTTAACCGTGATCAATCTTGTGAATATTTACATGCATGTTTGACTTTAAAACACTCCACTGAAGTCAATAAGACCTCTGACATGCTTATGAATTTGCAGAATCAGGGTTTAAAATTATTAAAATATTTCGGTATTTACTTTATTGCACATACCCAAACCAACGTTATCTGCACTAGTCACAAAATTCTGCAAAGGCAAGTTCTATGGTACTGTTCTTCGGAAGTCACTTATTTGACATATTACAGGTATTAAGATATATTAGAATAATTATAAATGTATCAGGAAGCTGACTTATAGCAGCTTCATAACTGAAACCCTCAGTAAGGTCGTACTGTATCATTTCTTGTTTTCACTTTCAAAAGATATGCAGCAGACCTTTGACCACGTTTATAACTAAACATTCTAAAAGTAGACACCAGTAATTTTACAAGATTTCATATATTCAATTCTGTTGAGGTCTGTTAATGCAGAATAAGTATTTATGTATATACTTCACTTATTTTGATAGAAATGGCACATGTCAATGTAAAACTATATACTAAAATACAATGTCTGGTTTGATAACTGCCAAGCTTTGAGGCACAGCATAACGAAGCAATCTATAAATCTGTAAAACTGGCTTTCATTATATAGCACTGTAAAATACAGCTTCATTAAATAAGCTATATTTTAAAAGTACCATGCGCTTCAAATTTGAATTGGGACTTGCGGCCTCTGTCTTCACAGTAACTTGACAAATATTAGCGTGAACTACTAAGGCAGTGTGACAACCGCATGCTGAGAGCAAAGTCTCACTAATGTGTTTTGGCATGCAGGTTTGTAATCACACATTTACATATGCAATGACCTACATTTGCATGTCAGATCACACACTGTCTTGCTTTATTAAGACCGGGCACCTCCCTGTGCTTGGCGGCCAGAGTGGCGAGAGAGGGCCAGAGGGCGGTGTTTTTTGGCAGTTGAGGGATGAACTGCCACCAAGGATTAGGCTGATATGGCCTGAGCATTAGACACTTCATTAGAGGTAATCTGTTTAACAGTGGGCAGTATATGTAAACTTCACAGCCCATTTGCGGCACCTTTTCCCCCCCATGGCCTTTCTTCAAAGGGCAGTGTGGCTGAGTGACAGCTTGTCTCATCTGCTCCCTTGTCCTGTCATACAATTTAGATGTGGTGAGCTGACATGAGAAGCAACATAGCTGCACATCTCCAACCACCACTGGGTCTTTCCTAGCCACAACGCAATTTGTACAGAAATAAGCTTATGCAGGATAAAGGCTTCCTTTGGTCCCAGACCATAAGAGAACATATTATATACACTTCACTAATGATAACATTACATTTTATCCACCAAGTAAACCAGTGAGCACTCCCACTCATCTTTAATATTACAGTTTCTACATAACTGTTGTCTATACAATGAATTTTAAAATACGACTTTCCAAATTTTAGATTTTGAAGATCCTGGACAACATATCTATTAAAACGGTCATAGAATATTGTTCTTTGTTGCTCTCTGATGCACTTCTATCTATAGGGCTGCTTCACTTTTGTACTATAATCAGACAATCTTGGGTTTGAAAAAGGGAGAGAGAGAATTAGAATATTTTTTAATAGCTTAGCATCAAAGCATGAGTAGTTAAAAAACAAATATTGTAATGCACTAGTAATTTCACCAGGAAAAATGCTTGCTAATAAACAAGACATTAGCAATACAATCTTTTGCCAAATGCCAAATTAGCATTTAGTAGGAATGGTTTCTATCAAAGGCCAGCATATACACACCCTAGAGAAGGTTCATAGGAGACCACAGCTACACAAGGCAATCACCATTACAACTCTCCTGGGGGATCTTTGGCCAAGGCCACAGCATCCAATATGAGCAGTGTTATACAGCAGTTTGTCAAACCATGGGTCATGACCCAAAAGTGGGTCACAAGACTATATGAGAGGGTCACAAACAAATATTTAAAATGGATTCTCCAGTTCAGGAGGAAAAACTTGGGAAACTGTGTCTTCCCTTGAAGGCTGGCAGAGTTCCAGTCTGCAAGGGGCTGCTTGAGGCCCACCCATGCCCTGCACACACACACACCTCCCATCTCAGACAGCCACGCCCTACCCCACATATCGGGGGGGAGGGCAGCAGGTGGGAGTGAGGGGCACTGGGTTGGGACTGGCTATCAATGTTTACAAATGGGTCCTGGTACAAAAAAAGATTGAGAACCACTGTTGTAGAAGACTTACAGGACAGGAGACATCCTAATTCAGAGCATTTTCCAAGACAACCTACTTATGGCCTCCACTGTCTCCCATTTCCTCATAGGATAAACAATCTTCAAAAGTACCTAAACTCCAGTTACTTTCAATTATATTAAGTCACTGACTCAGAATCAGAATTATTTGGGGAAGAGGGCGCTCACTGAGTTTTGGCAAGTCATTAAGGGCCGCATGATAAGCAGCCAGAGGCAGATAAATATTAGTTTTATAAATTTTTTTAGGGGCCCCATGGGCTGGACAGAATGGCATGGCAGGCCGCATCCAGGCCATGGGCCGCATTTTGCCCACCCCCGCAACATGGAATATGTTGCCTAAAGTCTATGCATAGAATTCCTATGGAACTATAGAGACAATTAACGAGTCAAGCCCCCCCCCTCCACCCAGCCAACAGAAATCTCAGTAGGACATAAGGAAAAACAGCCCTACTAGCTCAGCATGGTAGATCACAGAATTCTTGAGTTAATGGGACTAATAGCAATGAAGATATTTCATTTTGAAGTAAGTCTACCATACCTTTTTAAACTAAGCCACAATTCAGATTTGAAAACTATATATCATAAACAGAGCCAACACTCCCTGAGGAAAGATATCTTGTGCCTGAAAGCTGGTCACATGTCTCTCAACTATATCATTGGTCCAATAAAAGATATAATCCAATGAAATCTTGCTTCTTACACATTACAATAACAGGCAGGCTGACTCTATGCTTTGCTTTTTTTTACTTTTAGGACAATCATAATCCACTAAAATGCAGGTATTTAAGACCTTTCATCCAGATACTCTACAACATTTTAGGCATCCATATCCCATAATTCTTCAGCTGCAAATGGGCTGTAGTATACATTGAAATAACCCAAAAGGAGGAATTATTTCAATTCATCTCACTGTCAAGTGCTGACATTTAAATGTATCTCTATAAAATTACTCAGTTGACCATTTCTGCTAAAATGATCAATATTTAACTACCATTCTTAGTTTACCACAGCTGGTACCAAAATCAAATTTTTATCACACTTCTGTCAGATGGCCAAAATTCATATTTCTCTCTTTTCCCTGCCCAAGATTTTCTAAACTATATTTATGCCTTTACAATACAGAAGCCTACTGCCAACTGACCATATAAAAATTAAGGGGAACACACTATCAACTGAATCTTAAAGCCAATCACCTGATGTAGTGTTCTCATGTTTAATGCAACAAAACCGTCCTTTTTACACGCATCTGAAGTGATGCAGAATCTTATGTCTAATGTACTGGAATGCTATTTCACTATCTTAAGTTCTTATATGACCCCAGACCTCCAATTATTGCATTCGTCTTTAAACATATCTGTGAGGTAATAAAAACACCTTATCTTATCTATATCATAGATAAGAAACTAAAGATACTCAAAAGGTATTTAACAACTACACTCACATCAATTTCAACAGAAGTCTAGCACCTAAATACCTTTCAGGATCTCAACCCTGGGTAATTTACTCAGACAAAAGGGAAGCCTGAGGCATAGCAAGAAATTAAACATTAGTCCCTTATCATCCAACTACTCTACAAAATGTGTATGATTGTTTTGTCGTGTTCATTTTCAAATTGTGTCCTGTGGAACCCTGGGGTTCTGCAAAACATCATCAGGGGTTCTGCGAAGAAATTGAGGGTAATGGCAGAGCAGGCCAGAAGGCAGTGTGCTGCCACTACCAGGCCATGTTGCCTGTCTCTGTTTCAGCTCACAGGATAGGGGTAAGCGCTTTGCAGCATTAGAAGTGATGTGAAAGAATTACCTGACTCTGGAAAGTTTTTAAATACTGGTATAGAACTCTCTCCCACAAACTGAATCCCCATTGCAGAATTTAGTCAAGCTTCCCCAAGAAATACAGAGTTATTTTTAATAATGTTAGTTTCTCTATGTTATGCTGAAACTTCTACTGATTTAACCTGAACACAGAATGGTATTTCCAAATTAATTTGTACTGAGTCATTAAACTGTTTAGCTAATTATACTCATTTCCCCTTTTCATCAAAAAAACTGTGAAGTTCCAGAGTAATTTAATTTGTATTTAATTTGATTTTTCCATTTAATTTAATTTGTTTTCAATTTGTGCATACATATATAGTTTAATAACCCAAAGAATTAAGTTTAACAGGTTTTCCAGCTCTGAGATGTAATTATTCCCAAATCAATATTTCGCATCTTCTCCTTCATCTGTTGTATTACTTTCTTCTAATGTTTCTCCTCCTAAATTACCAAGGCATTAATCATTACCTCTATCTTAAGTTGAGATAGGGGACCGTAACTAATTTTGAATACATCATTCGTATTTTAACTGAAAATGTCTTGCAGTTTATTTTTATCGTTAATTTTTTTCACAATTGCATAGCTTTAACAAGCTGAAGCTATCAGATTTAATATGCATATCCAGCTCACAGGGCAAAAGGAGGTCAACAAGGTGAAAATGTCACTAAGTGACACTATCAAAATAATTCTGTGGCATATTAATCTATTTATATATTTGGCTAACAAAGTAATATGCACCTCATTCCTCAAAATGCAAAATGGTCAGAACTATGCCCATGACCTTCCTAATCTAAAGAAAAAAGAAAGAACAATTGCCTGTCTACCTTGCAATTGAGTAATAGCAAGTATGCTTAAAAATGGCTGAAGGTTAACCAAGGATGAGCATACGTGTGGGTTTCTTTTGTTGGAGATGTCTACTAGGGTACTGTAAGAACCCTGTTAGGCCTGGTCTTGTTTAACATTATAATTAATGATACTCTCAAGACTGATATAAGATAATTTAAAAACAAACAAACAGGCTGCCAATGATTGGGGCGGGGGGATGGTTTTTGGAGACAGGCACAAACCCTACCCAAGCTGACAACTATGATTGTGCCTTTTGCTCAGACAAGGAGAAGAAAAGTCTATAATAAATATGGTGAGCTTTTATGAGATTCACATTATAAAGTTTCTAGCAGCATCACAAATTGCCTCATCAAATATATCCTTAAGATAAATTAACATAAGCTGTCACATTTGTTGCATCAAAAATACTTGTTAAAATTGAATATATGCAATTACATCTTAAATGCATAAATGTTTTGTTCTCTAGGATTGAAAAACCAAACATTCCTGCATATGTATACTTAACAGCTAATCCACTGCAGGCAGGGAAACACAAGCTGTGTTAAATACTGGTCACAAAAATAAAGATCAGTACTAACATATATGCATGATCACCAGCAACTTTAGAATAACCATGTATTGCCACATCCACTTTTTTATTCAGGTTAAAACTATGAAGCAAAAAAATTAAGGTTCCAACCCTGAAGAAGAAGAATTCAAGTGTGTAATTTTACTGTGGCAAATTATAATGACTTCAGTAGGATTCTTCACAGCAGATAAAACAGATAGATGTCCTTGGATAAGTTTGTGAAGGATCATGGCTCGAGTAGAATTTTTTTCCCCTCCAGCTTTTAAATAAAATTAAAGCAACATAACATGTTTACAAGAAAGTTTATGAGCAATATCTAAATATTATTTGTTCTCTGATAATGTTTTCTTTATTTCACACCATCACCCCAAACACAAAGATAATTAAATCTCTCTCACATCCACCCTGTCACGGGGGCTTCTATAAGTGGGAATTTCTCTGTCTGTTTTCTATAAGTAAAGACATTAACCCTCACAGGACCAGCAGCAGGGGGTGTAAGAAGAGAAGGTTAAAAGGAGCATTCTGAAATAAATGTGGTAACTCTGACATAATTTTGAAATGTATAGTGTTTAACAGCTCAGTGTCTCACACGAAAACAATTACTTTCATTTTTGCCTCCCACTGCCACTCCGACTTTTCCCAGTGGGTGAAGCAGTAGGGGGCAGAAACGAAAGTTTTTTTTCCTTGTGAAACACAGCATTGATATTCATTGAATTTCAAGATAACCAAGATGACATTACATTTCTTTATGGCTTCTTTTTGCATAAATGTCTTCGGATAGAAATAGCCAAAGACATCTGATCTTATAACATTCACTTTAATCATCAGTGGTGATGAAGTCAGTTATGCTACTGCACATGATTATCTCAATTATCTTAATGAACTATTGCACTGAATACAATGCTAAAGCATTTGTGATATACAAGAAGCCCTCTGTCTTGCAACACCATTGTATAATGGATAAAAAGTATTTGAAGTTCAATAATCTTTTTTTCTTTTGTCCTCTGCATGTTATTTTAATGCCTGTTGCTCCTATGTGATTATAAAAATAACATACCTGTGGCTGAAACTGTGGAACAGGAGGCCCCTGCATGCCTTGTGACTGTTCATCCATTGTGTCAAACAAGAGGACGTTTTGGTTCTGCAAACACAAAATATATATACGTATATGGATTAAAACAACAGGTTCACCAGAGTTTATATAGAAACTGCTTATTTTATGAGCAAGTTTCAATTATACCAATACAAATAAAATGCATCGCTACATTTTAATTCAAAATGCTAAATTCTTCTAAAAGCAGACTGACAAAAGAATTAACCTCAATGCTAAGAATTTTCTGAAATTTGAATTTGCAAAATCTAAAATTTTAGCCATTGTTTGGAAAGTGATTTTTTCAAGCTGTCTTTTAAAAAGAATTATTGTGCATATGCAAACACCAACCTATGAGGCAATCAGCAAGGGCTGAACCTGGGACTGCCCAGGTCCACCTGGAAGATTACTGTGACTTGAACTAAACAATGACTCAGTGAAACTAAATCAGTAAAACCCACCCTGGCATCCTCTATATCGGGGCATCAAAGATGCAGCCTGAAGAGCTGTTTCACTGAGTGGTTAAAGTGGGGCTAAAAATTCAGACTCCTGGATGAAATGTTGTTCACATGGTATTCACTCATTTGTGAATTTCTCTGCAGCAATAGTCCCAAATTAGAGACAAGAGTTAGGGATGAGTTATGAAGACTGAAAAATATTCAGAATTATTAACAAGCAGGTTTGAGTAGATTCATAGATTGTAAGGCTGGAAGTGACCTCAGAAGATCATCAGGTCCAACCCCCTGCACCAGGCAGGAAAAATGACAAGTGAGGTCAGGTGACCCCAGTAAGATGACAATCCAGTCTCCACTAGAGATCCAGCTAATAAGTTTCTGTGAGAATCATCAAAAACTATATGGATTTAAACAAATCTTGTAACGAAACCAGGGAGAAGACAAGAGCAAAGAGATTTCAGAACTCTGGAAGACAGCTTTTTGTTCCCAAGTTATTGCACCCTTTGGTATTAGAAGAACATGAAGCATCTGTTTTGCCTGTTTACTATGTAAACCTCTACTTCTATTCAAGATATCAAGTAGAAACAATGTTTACTGCATGTGAACAGAGGGATGATTTTTTTGTAGTTTATAACTGAGCCAACTCCAGAAAGATTTTCATAGTGACACCAAAAGTCACAACTCTGACATCAAAACTACCTTATACCCAAATTTCGGATTCCCCCACATCAGAACAATGATAGTGGGGGAGGGGAAAGTAGCCTGAAGAGTAGAAATCTACCCACTGTCTCCACTGAACTCAGTCAAAAAACAGTTGAAACTATTTTTGCTTAAACGTTCCTCTCTATCTCCCTGAAACAAAACAAAATAAAACAAGGTGAAAACCAACACAACATGAAAAAATTCAAATACAAGTAGGTAAGAGGAAAAGCAACAGAAAAAGGCTTTTAATAGAAAACAGCAAGAAACCTTTACAACAGGCACTAAACTTTAATATAGATCTTATACATTTTTGCAAGAGACTTACAAGTAAGTTTTAGTGCTGTATGTTTTATTACTAAAGGATTCAAACACTCTAAGCCCCAATTATGTCATATCATCTTTGTAAACATAAACCTAATTGTAGATTTCATGGGCATGTTCTGAGGAAATTGTTGGATGATGGATGTTATTAATTTTATGAAGCTGATGCATTTTTAAAAATAAAAATCCAATAGAAAGGGTTCCCTGTCTGAAAAGCAAAAACTCCACCTACATTAATCTACTATATCCCATTTCTATTATTACTGTTGTAAAAATAAACTTGCAAAATGGCAAATGAAACTTTTAAGCAAAAACAATTCTCTTCACACATCCCACCTAATGACATAGTGCAAAAAAGCTTTTAAGGCTCAGATGTATATAATATAGTCTTAACTAAACCAACAATCATTTTTCCAAGGTTTTTTTTCTGGCCAACTTTAAAAATGTATTTTTGGATTGATTCCTTCCCAACTAGCTAAGAAGCATTTTTGGGTTGTTTTTTGTTTGGTTGTTTGGGGTGGGGCATGGGCTTTTTTGTTTGTTTTTTTAAATTAACTGTGACATATCTATTCTCTAATGAATATCTACTGTTCACAGTATTTTACTTACCCCTAGAGGATACCAGTACTTTCATGATGATATTATTACCAAGAAATTAAAAAGATAGAACTGTCACAATGACAGTATCACAACTTTAAAGTAGTTTTAGAAGTTAGTAGATTCTATGTATTAACCTTGCTTTCAATGAATTATTAAAAATAATCCTTAATGTCAAACTTGAAAATGCATATTAAAAAGAAAATAAGCACAAAACAAACAATTAGTATACATGAAAAAATAACTGATATACTTAGTCTGTATTATTCTTCAATAGTTAACATTTTACAGCTTAATTCATGCAGGCAAAAAACAGAATTAGGTGCAAAGCTACTTAGATCAACATCAAATATTTAGTTGAAAGACACAAAAGGATTTTTTTGACCATTAAAAAGATCAGATTACAAAATGTAAAAAAATATGCATGCAAGAACTATTTGCTATCCAAAACTTCAACAAGTGGTCCCATGCAAATCTAAAGAGAATCTATAGAACAGCCATTTTCACCTCCATTTTCACCTCCTTATTCTAAATGTATTGACAAGTCCTTCTCAGAGCTTCAAGACAAATATTGTTCTTCATGTTCTTTGTACTGAGTTTCAGTGGGCACATCTACAAGTTTATTAATGCACTTTTCCTAAGGTGCATTCAATTTAGTACTTGGGGGCATTTATATACATGATCCAGGAATGGGGGCCCCACACTTCAATTAAAAGCAGCTTCAAGAGCCACTCTAATTAAAGTGCCCAAAGCGTCTCATTTATTAGCCTTCCTGTGCTTAAAAATGGTGGCAAAGGCGCTTTAAGTAAAGCTCAAGCTTTAGTTAAAGTGCCCCGCCACCATTTTTAAGCGTGGGAACAGTGATGGACAAGACTCTGGAATCTGCTGGAGTGTGGTAATTACCACGTTCCAGCAGACTCTATTAATTCAGTCTGCTCCAACACATTGTAATTACAGCAAGTTGGAGGAGCCTTACTGTTCATTTATAGATGACCTCCGCCTATTTTAATTCACATTAATGAAAATGCACGGGTTTTCTGTGACACTTTAGTGTGCATTAGAATAGGCTAATGCACATGAACACGCATGTTTAGATATGCCCAATAATACTTGGTCAAGCAGAACATGACCTTGAACTGGAGGGACTATAGTTTCTCTACATTCAAAAGATTTCATTGGGTAAACAATTGAATACCAAAATGGAAAATGCATTTTAACCCAGTAGAATTCCAGCAATTAAGAGCACTTAACCCAGGGACAGCTATTATTTGGGCTGGTGGGCCACTTAATGAGTTTTGGTAACCTGTCAAGGCCCACACCTCTCTCTCCCTCCCTATTTCCCCATCGTTCCTTCCTGGGGTTATGACCAGCATGGAGGCCTGAACCTGCCCACAGTTTTAACATGACTCCCCCCACAGCTGAAATGCACCCTGGTGCGGGGGCGGGGGGGGAGGGTGCTACATCTGCAGGCTGCCACCAATGCGGAAGTCAGAAACCACCCACAGCTGTAGCATGCCCTGCCCTGCCCCTCCCTGCCATTCCTGGAGCCCCAACACAAAAGCTGCCGGCTCCCCTTGGGCAGCTCTGGACATGGCCAGGAGCTGCTCGGTCCAGACTCAGGGAGGTGGAGCAGGGGGAGGGGCAGGGCACACTACAGCTGCAGGCAAGTTCATGCTTCCACTTCTGCGCTGGTGGCAGCCCTGACCGAGATCAAGACAGAGAACATGTACCTGGCACACTAGAAACAACTACAGCCCCCTGACACAATGCAGCTGGGGTTGTTTCCAGTGTGCCAGGTACAGTGTGCCTGTCTCAGTCTTGGTCAGGGCTGCCACCAGCACAGAAGTGGAAGCATGAACTTGCCTGCAGCTGTAGTGTGTGTACAGGCTGGATCCATTCACTTGGTGGGCATCCACCTGCAAGCTAGATCCAGGTAGCTAGCAGGATGTATCCAGTCCCTTGGCCATATTTTGCTGACCCCTGTTATTACCCTTCTATTCATACTCTCACGGAAGAGCAAGTGCCACTTCTGAGGGGAGAGAAAAAGCTCTCTCAGGATTACCCAAGATGCAGCCTTATTCAGTCTCCCTCTCCTAAGAGGACCCCCTGCAGTTAGCCCTAGCGTGGCTTCACAAGGGGGAAGCTGCTGGCTTTGAGACCCTGGCTCTTCTCAGTTTCTGGTGAACCACAGCATCCCCATCTCTGAAACCTCCTTCTGTTCATCAGCTCCCAGGAAAAGGAGTGGGGAGTTTCTTCTTTTAAAATAGGAATATCAGCGCCCCAAACAACACAACAGCATTCTCTGGTCTATAGTCACATCTAGACGATCTGCCCCTAAAGTGAAAAGGGTACATAGAAAGCTTACTGACTGAGCATCCCCAGTAAGTGTTCTCAATAGCTTCATGCTGGAACTCAGGTCACTCAACCCTTTTTGTCACATATGCATACATAATACTTGTGAAAAAGAGGACCACCCTAGAGTTTGTGGATAAAAGACCAAGCATAAAATCTCAAAAGCAGATTTTAATATTGTCCTGGGCTCCATGGCAATCATTCCTGATGAATGACATGATTTTTATTCTATCTATACTACACTAGCCTGGTGGGGGGGGAAAAAATCAGGCCATATCTTTCCAATGGCAGTATCTAACCAAAGTATTGTCACATGCTAGTGGGCGTTCCAATCAGGCAAACTGTTGGGACTTCACATCTTATCCTATCTACCCACAATATGTATATACAAACATGCATATTTGGGGAACTTTGTTGTAATTAACCTAAAACTTAATAAAATCTAAACAGAGAGGCCTTAAAAGGGACTTTTAGCTAGATTTAACCTTGATGGCTCAAGACAGGAAGAAAAAAGGAAGAACTGCTAAAGGAGCTGTGTAATTTATCAATCATAAAACCATTACCAGTCATCAGCAGAATTTTAGGATAGCCCTGGTGAGCCTCTACAAGAAAATGCTGAAAAAA